ACCGAGCTCGTCCACTGGAACGCCCAGTCTGGTGAGATTCGGGAACATTCAGGGTATACACTCATCCAGTCTTTCGGAGGGCAAATCAGTCCTGAATTACAAAGTTACTCTGTCTCTACCAAGTGGAATAAAAATAACTTTTCTTTAAAAAAACAACATGGAATTCCCAAGATACCTAGTCTTAACCCTCTAACATCTGATTAGAAACAATTAGCTCACTTCTGCGTCTACCGAAGTCAAGCAGAAAACTGAGCAATTACGTGTGTGTGCTCAAGTTATGTAAATAATCATCTTAACAGGCACCTTCATTTTGCTTTTGTAGATCTAAGCCCTATCTGGCTTAAGTGGTTTATTTATTTAGATCCATAACATTTTGATGAGGCTATTTTGATGCACAGTATTGGTGCAGCTCCTTAGATGTCAAGACATTTTGAATACTCTTAAAAAAAGAAGAAAAACCCTGTTAACATGATAATTTTTTAAAGCCACAAATTTATGTGTTGAACAGACATCCTCACCCTTAGTCTCACCCCACCCCAACCCCACTCACAATAAAATTTTCCTTCTCTAAATATAGCAAAAGGAATTCCAACATCTCTGGAGACAAAATTTCAGAGGGAGAAAACAAATGAAAAACAAAGACCTGAGAAAATAAAAGTCCGAAGGGTAGGATACCTCAATTTTAATACTCATTCTTGTAATATCCTCATTGGTCAAATTTTGGATGACTCCTCCAGCTGACTTCATGGAATATTACTGGATGCTATGGTCCCTGTCCTAACACTGTTGAGACTGTGGAAATACTCTTATAAGACATTTATACTAATAAGTATACCAGAAAATAGAACATAATGCATATGATGAACATAAAATGGATCAGACAAAAAGTATGATCATTTACAGAATCCATTTATCTCATCCAAATGTGATCCAAGCCTCCTGGTTTCTCTTCAGTTGCAAATTCCTGCATTGTCTGCATCTATGTCTTACTATACACCTGGCGGAGCCTCCGCTGATGCCACCTGGTCTCCAGAGGGGTGCCCTGTCAGTCTTCCATGGTGTCACCTTCTGACAATCTGTTGTTACGCTCAATAGAGCTTTCTTACTTTTACTTTTTAGTCTTCCCTCCTCTCCTCTCCCACCCCCATGCCTGTACCCTCAGTTCAATAGGAAGTGGACTTTGTTTTCTTGAAGACTGGCACCTTTTCCTATTTTATTATTTTTTTCCTGTGTTGGGCCAGAGAGATTCCGCATCTCAACTGATTTTTTTCTCAGAATGAGCCTCTCAAACTCAAGTCTTCAAATGCCAAGTCTATTTTATTAGTCTTGCATTACTTTCTAGTGAAGTCAATGTATATAATTATAGTCCAAAAAACATTTTGAATTGAAAAGTAGAAAGAAGAGATAATTAACAAGTTAACAGTTCATCAACCGTTACTCCATACAGCATATGCACTAATTTTAAATGTCTGATTTGAATCTACTTTAAGGAGATCAGATGTTAAATAAGCAGGGCTTATCTGTACAGGGCAATTGCAACAATGGATTCAGTAAAGCCACATCTTTTTAGAAAAAATTGTAGTTAAATATACATAACATAAAAATCATCATTTTAACATTTTTAGGTGTGCTGTGGCATTAAGTACATTCACATTATGTGCAGTCATCACTACTATCCATCTCCAGAATTTTCTCATCATCCCAAATGGAAACTCTGAACCCATGAAACACTGACCTCCACTTCCCCTTCTCCCTAGCCCCTGGCAACCACCATTCTACTTTCCATCTCCCTGATTTTGACTACTCTGGGGACCTCATATAAGTGCATACAATATATGTCTTTTTGTGTCTGGCTTCACTTAATATAATGTACTCAAGGTTCATCCATGTTGTAGCATGTGTGAAAATTACATTCCTTTTTAAGACTGAATAATATTCCATATTTTGCTTATCCATTCATCCACTGATGTACATTTGGGTTGTTTCCACTTTGGGGCTATAAAGCCACACCTTTTTAAGGAAAGCAATTTTATGGAGTTACAATTTACATGCAATAAAATGCACTTGTTTTAAGTTTACTGTTTGATAAACATATACACCTACTTAGTCACCATTATAATCAAGTTATAGAGTATTTCCATTACTCCAGAAGTCTTCCTGTGTCCTTTTGAATTAACTACAAATTTGCTACCGCAAAACATCTCATACCCTGGGTACCACTCATCTGCTTTCTGCCACAGTGGATTAGTTTTGAGGGCTTTTTAGACCTGAAGGATCTTGGTTAGTAATGAGACAAAGAATTCGGAATACAGGGTTCATTACTTATGAGTGAGATAGGCTCTGGGAGACAAAGATACTAGAATATATACAAGGACCCCAGTGACAGAGGTACCAAACTGAGTGTTGCTTGTGTACAGAAATGTCAGCTTGATTGATCAAAGTTGGAACCAACTTCCTTGTGGGAAATTTAGAGATATATGTTGATGTGGAAAAATCAAGATCACAATCTTCTGAAGAGAAGAAATAATAGAGAATATATTACTTTCCCATTGTTAAAGTTCTATTGTTCATATTTTTTTCTTAATTCATAGTCTTAAAGGAGGGAAGAATATTCTACCAATTTTAAGACCCATGTGCAGCCTCTTCCTCTTGTTTGTGGGAGGAAGAGGTTCCACTGCTAGGTCTTTGTTCCATTGTCCTATGAATAGTAAGGACATATGGTACTGACAGTCATAGAAAAGAGAGAACAGAGAGGGCTTCACCATCCTGAGATGTCTCAGCACACAGAACACAGCAAGACCTCAAAAACAAAAACAAAAACAAAAACAAAAACACAGTAGATAAAATTTGACATATTCAATTCTGCATGATTCTTAATTTTAGATGAAAAAATTAATACTGTTCCAAAGCAGGAAATTTAGGCTGTTGAGAATGTGCACTAGGTGCTTTCCGTAACAGGATCCTTGAAGGTTAAGTTGTTAGAACTGTCATACTGTTAGATAAATAACCACAGCTAATAGTTGTTTTCATTAATTTTTCTGAGACTAGCATTTGATTACCCAGAACACAACCAGGTGTATACTTGGCAGTGTCTTTTCTACCCAGTTATTTTGATACCTTGTCAGGGTGTGGCCTTGGTCCCTTCTCTTGGTGACCTAGCTCTGCTTCCACAGACCCTGGATCAGGTTCTGTCTGATCAAAACGCTAATCTGATCATTAAAATAGAAGATTCATCACTAACAAACGTGAATAATTAGAATTAAACACTCTTTACTAATAAAACCTAAATTGTGATTTTTGATTACTCAAAAGTTGCTTGATTTTTTTTTTTAAATTGAGGCAAAATGGAAAGAACTCACCCTTTCCTTTTTTGGCAGGCAAGCAACTTTTCCTTAAATTCTTGAGTCAATATATGGTTTTCTCAAATCTTTTTACTTTTGTTTTATCAGCTCTGTTTTTTTAAATCATGTTATTAAATAATCTTAGCCATTTGCTAAGCTTTTCTCAAGAAATTTTCATTCTCATTGACATTCTCATTGTCTTACTTCTGCTTTATAACGCCTTCAGCACTTGCTGTATGTGATACTTTGACAACCAGATATTTTCTAGTCTGATATTTGATAGTTTGTTTCTTTCTTTTGCAGTTCTTATATTTTCTGATTACTTAAACCCTTAGGTGATCTATATGTTGAATAATCTACTTTTCCATTTTTTGTTACTTAAATTTTCACTGTGATACATTATATATGTGCAAAATTTAAATACATTGTCAAACAAGAGAAGTAAATTTTTCCATCTTAAATGATTAATGTAAGCATAATACCCAAGTGCCATGAAGCGCTCTGTAAAAGTTGCTCTGTAATATCTTTCTAATTTTGAATCAAGTGCTGAAAATTCTATAGGTTAACTTCTTAATACATGAAGTGAGCAAATATGTTTACACATCTTCATTTTCTTCTGCTCTCTAGGAAGTAAAGGTATGAAATAAATAGATTTAGGTGAACAAATTAGTAGAATTAGGCCATGTGAGATACAATGAAGTGAGGGACCCTTTTCTTAATAGGAAGCCTTTGTCTGCTGATGGAGTGACCTAAACAGGTGAGACTGGCAGGAAGCCCTTGGCTTTGCCAGATCTGTGCCAAGGTTAGGAAGCTAGACTTTGGCTGTTGGGAAGAAGAGTTGCTGGAAAAAGTGGGCTAAAGTTGCTGTCTGGACATTAGTTTTTTTTTTTCACATATATTTTCATTGAAGTATAGTCAGTTTACAATATTGTGTCAAGTTCTGGTGTACAGCACAATACTTCAGTCATATAGGAACATACATATGTTCATTTTCATATTGTCTTTCACAGTAAGTTCTACAAGATATTGAATATAGTTCCCTGTGCTATACAGTATGAACTTGTTGCTATCAGGAAACTATTAAGTGAGGGGGTTTAGGGAATACTGAAACCATGGGTAATCATTAGTTAGATGCATTTCACCTGTACCCTGCCTTCACTAATCAAGGTGGTTTTAATTGTTGCTATAAAAGACTTGCGTGTCCTTCAAGAGCATGTGGCCTAAGCAATAGGATGCTTGCTGGAGTTGTTCTCCAGGACCGTGGGGTCAGGTGTGTCTAGTTTGAGCTGTGCTTGTTAAGGCTGGATAGGACCACTGACCTCCCAACTCAGCATGTTTGAGCATCTGCTAGGTGACTTTTTGGTGTTAGAGGGCCCGAAACTCCACCCTCAGATCGTGCTAAAGGACCTCCATGTTTGAACGTGCAGAGGCCCGTAGCTTAGTTACGCCTGCGCAGACCAGCAATTCTATCACAACTTTTCCCAATCATGCTCCTGCCCGCCTCAGACCACGCCCTGCTCCTTGAGTCTTCTCAAAAACACCCTGAGCCTCTTGCTTTCAGGAGGCAGATTTGAGACTGGTTCCCAGTCTCCATCTTGGCTGCCTTGTGAATAAGCCCTCCCTTTGCTGCAAACCCTGTCTCAGTGTTTTGGCTTGCAGCCCGTCAGGCAAAACGAACCTGGTTACGCCACAAATGTAACTGGGATTGGATTCTCCAACAAAAAAGCAGTTTGAGTCAAGAACCAAAGGGACTAAAGGAACGAGCAGGCAAAGGAAATGAGGCTACAATCCGAGTGGAATACAGTCTCCTGCTGGATGTTCTGGAAGCTGCGGAGCAACTTGCTGCTCTCAGGTACCGCGTGGGAAGAAAGGTGCGGGGAAGGCATTGAAGAGAAACGCTGCTATTTTATACTTTTACCTGGTTATACATTTTTTTTTCCATTTAAACAGTTTTCTGAGGTTACTCTTTCATGTTTAGTCATTTAAAATCTACAAAAGCACCAATTAACATTTTATTCCATACTATAGCTTCTTTCTCATCTTAATGCTTTCCCCCCATAAAATAGCACAATTTTCTTGTAGGTACATTTTTGGGGAGGACTTTTATAGATTGTTAGGGCCAAGTTACTATCAGTGTGCTAATATAAATTAAGAAAAGTGATTCAGATCTTGTTTTGCAGTGGGCTATTCAAAATGTCTGGGCTGATACCAGGTAATTTGCATTTAATTAAAAGTAAAAAGCCTCCTATGTGGAAAATTTGACTAAAATAAAATTCTGAGAACCACTAAAGCTAACCCAATAGCAATTTATTTGCAAGCATATGAAAAATTTGACAGTGTTACATTTGAGTACTAAGAATAATTTTAATTTCTACTAACATATAAACACATCACACTGGTAAGTGGAGATACACGTCAAGAAAAAAATTTTCTTTTGCCTTCGCTATGTGCATCATTAGGAGATTCTGAATCAATTCCATAGTTTCTCATGACTGTGTGTGTAGTCCAATACCTAGAGAAAAATAGATCTTTGATATTTTAGACCATCACGCTTGAGTAACATTCAGATAAGTGAATGTCAGCTGAGCTAGAATGTTTTCTCATCAACCCAAAAGCTGTTAACTGTTGAGTAATTAGTTCTAGCTCTGGGCCAGGTGAAGCTCAACAGCCGCTCCCTTCATGGTTTCAAAGGAAATGGAAAGGTAATGATGTTGCCTTTAAAGTAATTCTCAGCAGTTTTAGGCTCAGTTCATAGAAGTAGCTTCTTGTTAAATATGGAACAAATCATTGAAATAGGAGACAAAATTCACTGGAAGAGTAAATAGGAAAATTTGATATTAACATTTATCCTTGAGGATAGATTTCCATGCTGTCAAGAGATGGACAAAGCATACTGAGAAAATCTTATTTTCTATTATTAACTTCGTATTTCTTTTTCAAAATAGGAATTCATCTTTTATGACCCAACTACATCCCAATTCCTAAATGAAGAATTTGATTACTACAGTCCAAAGATATTACTCCTATCAACTCCTGGGTATTTGTTGCCTCTACATATTCACACTCCCTTAGAGTCATACTTTTTTTTATCTAATTTTTTTATTGTGGCAAAATACAAATAACAAAATTGCCATCTTAACCATATTTAAATGTACAGTTTAGTGGTATGAATTCATATTCTTGAGCAACCATCGCTACCATCCATCTCCGGAACTCCTCACCTTGCAAAACAAACCCAATACACATTAAACAGTAACTCTACTTGAAATTATACTTCTTTATTTGGTATAAACGATTTCCAGCTTTATCAGTCTAACTACATTGTAAGCCCCTTGCAGGGGACAGTCATGTATTAGTTACATAACATACACATTTGGTACTTACTGTCAGGCCCTGTTCCAAGTGCTTTGCAAATATTAACTGGCATCCTTTTATGTTATGGAGGGTCTAGCATGTGCTTTGCACGTGGGAGACATAAAATATTTGTGGAATGAAGTTTGATACCACTTAAGCATTTCCAAGTGACTGGCTGTTCTGGATGGAAAGTTACGAAAGGAGCAGGTTACTCTGGGGAAATGGCGTGGGGAATATCCCCACATTGGGTGCAAGTATAAAGAAGTCCTTTATTTTATTCACACTTAGGCCAGGTTCCCACTAAGGAAAGCTAAGACAAGCTGTTCTTGAATGATAGAGGCTGTAGGAAATGACTTAACACAGTTAAGGTTTTCCCTTGCACCAGGACCAGCGGTCAACTGCGAAGATTCAGGGAAAGGGAAGACGCGGAGGATGGGAGGC